GAACTATAAAGTCAAGCCAATTCTAATACATCCCATATGATTTTCCAAAGACATTAAGAAATCAATTAAAATTGCATTCTTGGCAAAGGGCCAACATTAATCACATTCCTGAAGAACAGCAACAGCCAGGGTTCTGACCTACCAGATATTATTGTTTATTATTACCATATAAGCTATAACATAGTGTATTTTGGGATAAGGACAGATAAATAGACCAATGCAACAGAATACAGAGCAAAAGCAAGTCTTCACGTATCTGGCAAGATGTTTTTTGCAGATCTGTGGGGAACAACTAAACGTCTGGATAAATGGCACTGACGTGATTAACTATCCACCTGGGAGGAAGCTGTATCTCCACTCTATACCATTATTCACTAACGTCAGTTCCAGATGGCTGATAATGGGGATATAAAAAGCAACACAATGAAGGTTGTAGAAGACCATGCAGAAGATATTGTTTTGGGATTCAGGGTAGAATAGAATTTCTTAGATATGATACAGAAAGTACAAATCATAAAGAAAAAGAATGATAAATTCAACAACAAAAACTGAGCACTTCGCCATCAAAAAAATACCACGAAGAGAGTGAAAAGACAAGCGTCAGACTGCAGAAAAGAGATTTAACAACAGAAAAGGGATTCATTTCTAAGAATTTCTATAAGTCTAAAGAAAAAAAGGCAAAAGATATCAGCAAACATTTTACAATAGAGAAAATCTATGAAAAGATTCTCGATTTTATTAATAATTGGGGGAAATGAATTTTTAAATCACAATAAACAACCATTTCATAGGCACCACCCTGATTAATCCCATGTTCCCAAAGTGTAGATGAATGGGATGTGCTGGGGGGAATGTAAATGCGAAAAACCAAGAAAACAGACATCACCTTACAAACACAGGATTGCTCATAACACCATGTTTTAAAAAGTAAAATCTTTCAAGCAGTTCAAATGCTCTTCGTCGGTAATAAATAGATGATTTATTCAGATCATGGAATACAGCACGGCCGTGAAAATGAATGGGCGTAGCTGCATGCATGGCCATGGATGGGTCTCGGACACAAGAATGAATGCAGGAAGAGCGCATCAATACACAGTCCAACCCCGGACCATCATTATTTCTAGGTATACATCCTAGGTGGTAAAACTATGAAGAAAAGCATATGATTAGGGGCAGTGTGGGAAGGAGGTCCTCTCAGGGAGAGAGAAAAAAACAGGCTTCCACAGCACTAGCAATATCCTGTTACATAAACTGAAGAGTGGATCGGTGGGCATATATTTTATTACTCTAAATAGTTTAGATATATTTTCTCTATGTATGGTATACTTCACAATTAAACTGTTTCAAATAATGAATTAGATTACCCTTAGGGGACCGTCTAGCTCTGATCTTGAAATTGTATAAAATCTAATCTCTTTTCAAACGTTGAAAAGCAACAGAATTTTATAGCAGAACCCTTCACTCTCAAATCTAGGCCCCTCGTTTCACAAATGAGCTCCAGACAGATGAGGTGACGTTTTTCCGTCACACAGTGCTTGAGTGGTAGAACAGGACCATGGAGAATGATCCAGTAACCCAAGCATCAGTACATTTTCCACAGACACCTAAGGCTGTGTGCATGGTCTCCTGCGAGGCACTGTATTTACAGTGAGCATTCACTCTAGATTTTTTTCAAAGTAGTTCTATCTATATACATTCTGTCCTATTGTCCAGCCGTATGATCTGCTTTTGTTTTTTGTTGTTGCTTGAATGAATGGACTTTATTTTTGTTTCACAAAATAATGACTACCCCGGGTGTACTAATCCTCTTCCTTTCCATACTGAAAACGATGTCTTGGCCTTTCCTGTTATTTGAATGACTGGCTCCACTCAGCCTCAAATATATCCATCATGCTGGTCCTATTTGCTCCTTACCTTCCATCCCTATGTTCCCCACTGTATTTCCAGGAACCCCTGAGATTCTCATCAACCTTTACGTCCTTTCTCCCAAAAACTTCCTCCTTCAGTTCCTAGGGGGAAAGGGAGGAACTGATTGTTCCAGGTTTTCTTGTTGCCTCCTGATTTTCTCCTCTGAGAGAGGTGGCTCTGGGGGTGGAGTTGGTAGGGAAAACAAAGGAGAGAAAAGAAGGGGAAAAAACAGGAGCTGTTTCCAATGAGGTTGGAGGCCATTACCCAACTATTTCCATGAAGCAATTGATCCACCACCTGCACACCCAGAACAGCCTGTGCTCCGGCTTTGCGTGTATTGTTTGCTATGATGAATTCTCACAATGCCTGTTAGAAGACAAACTCTTCTGCACCTCCTATGCGCACCACCTCCACCATCCTTCCTGCCTCTCCAGTGGAGGTTTCAGAGGCCCCAAGCAAGACTGCACACTGTAAATTTTTAGACACCTGGCAATCCCTGAAGAAAGTTCTTCTTCCCATGGACTCATAAGCAAGTCAGTTCTAAAAGGAAGGCTCAGCCTTTTCATTTTGAGCAGGAGTGGATGTAGCCCTCCGGGCAGAGAGGGCCAAGGGCACTGTCATCCAGAGATTTAGAGGGATTGATGAGATGAGGCCCCAGTGGTCTGATTCCCAGACCGCTCTGTCTCCCCTTCTTCTGCTGTGACTCATACAGCCACCCCCTCCCTCAGTCCGGCCCTCTAGCCTGCCTCCAGCCTCCAGAGGTGAACAAACACTTGTGAAACATGCCTGGCATTCACTCGGAAATCTCTCCTATTTTTAACCTGGCTTCTTTTGTAGAACAGCTTTCCCTGATGAAGTTGTATTTACCAGGGTGATGTCACCTAATTCCAAACTGGCTCCCCGGGCCCACAGGCCTGCACACTGTTTTGTTGGCCTGCCCACAATTAATCACCCTTGCCAATGCTGACTTGAACTAATCAAATCCTTAGAAGACCCATGTAAAAGAACAGAGTGCCTGTTTATTAATGCATGTAAGAGCTATAACTCTCAGCTGCACAAGTTTGTGTTGGCCTGGCCATGTCTTTTCTCCCAAAGGACATCTGTGTGGAAAGTCAAACTATCAGTCTCCTGGTAGGTGCCAGGTTAGAACAAAGGAGCTGGTCAGAGGCACTTTCCCATTCCCTTTCTTGAAATGATTACAAACTCCCTTGAAGACTGACTCACTCTTGCTTTAGTGGGACCAACACCGTTAGCCCAGAGAGCCATTCATTTCCAGGGGATAAAGTTTGCCTCTTTCTGCTCTGCCCATTACATTTTGACTTCCTAGCTCCTTTTGGGAAAATCTTATCTCCTATATGTCCAAGTCCTTTAGTGGGGCTTGCTCCTACATAATCAAATTCTTCAGACATCTGTAAATCCAGCTGTTCTTCTACTACCTAACCTATATTTATTTCTTCCTATTATCCACCAGGACATTCTATGAGACCTTCTGAAACTCCTGCAAAGTCATGTTGCATCTCTATTTAAAAGCTATCTATGCAACTGATCATTTTTACAGCTAGATGAATGGAGATCATTATACTCTTTCTACTTTTGTACATGTTTGAGATTTTTCAAAATAATTTTTAAACTAGGGAGAAAACTATCCATGGTTTCTCAATATCCACAAAGCTTAAACTTCCTTTGTTTATTAGTGCATGTTTGAGGTGTGCAGTGAATACATTTATTGTGGGTAGTTGGTCCATACACATGACACATCTTAGATCTTTTTACATCCCATCCCCCTAACTTCTTCCCCCTCCATCTCTTGGTCCCCTTCCCATTTTGTAAAACATCTATGTCCCTGTGTCCTATTATCTATCTTTCATTTTGCCCTTTAATTCATTTATTCTATGGTTTTCTCATATAAGAGGGACCATAAAATAATTAGCTATGTGTGTCTTATTTATTTCACTTAATAGTATGGTCTCAAGGTACAGTCATTTTCCTACAAATGAGTCAAGTTTGTCCTTATATATAGTAGGGTAGTACTCCACTGTGTATAAATACCACATCTCCTTTATCCTTTCATCTGTTGATGAACATATAGGCAGCTTCCAAGATTTAGCTACTATGGATTGTGCTGCTATAAAGGAAGGTATGCCCGTATCGCTGTAATACGTTCTCTTTAATTCTTTCAAAGCCTGAATTTCTTAAGCTGGGTTGAGGCCTTCCTCCAACTAGTCTGAAACACCTTTCCTGTATGCTTTGCCCCTGCCCTACAAGCACCACACTACCAACCTCAGCTCACGTATACACCAGAGTCACTCACTACCTCTCATTTCTTTATTTTGGCTCATTCTGTTCCTGCAGCGCTCCGCTCAGAATTCACGTCCTTCAAGAAACCTCCCATCTCCCTCCTCACTGACAGCACTTCCTGCCTGCACCTGCCTGGTGGCCCATTACCATGACATATGGTGTCTTTCCATACAGTCTTCACAGGTCTTTGCAGTTAAGGGGTTATGTGATTTACCAATCATGCTGGGAACACATCAACCCTCTGTGGCTGTGGTGAGGACCGATTAGAAACTACAAATCCCCCATCCCTTGTCATCCTAAATTTCTCCAATCTGAGATTTGGAGCATATGGTCTCCATATGACTCTTCACCTGGCACAGAGTTGTGTACTTAGGAAGTACCAAGGAGATTTTTCACTGAGTGATTCCTTTATTAAATTCATGATGCCTCCAGCTTTGTAGCACTGTGTGAGTACAGGGCTTTAAACTTTACTGTGTTGTACACAGTGGTTCTCAGGCACTGTGCATCACATTAGTTGGGCAGTGTATTACAAGGCAGATGCCAGGCTCTGACCCCAGAGAGAAAGAATGAGAAGAAAAAAAAAATGAAGCCTCCCTCAGGTGATTCTAACACAGAAGGTCTGCAGGCCATACCATGAGACACAAAATCCCAAAGACCCATGAGGTCTGATGTGCCGCCATTCTCTGTGTGCTCATGACAAAGCCAGCTATCAGCCTTTTCCCCACTGAGAACCTCATGCTTGCAGACCCTCCCTGGACTCAACCTGCCCTTGTTTCCCTCCTTGTTCCACAAAGTGTGTGGCTGTGGTCTGGCCCAGTCAGGCTTCTTCTTCAAGAACCAGGAGTACATCTGCACGCAGGACTACCAGCAGCTCTACGGAACCCGCTGTGACAGTTGCCGGGACTTCATCACAGGCGAGGTCATCTCTGCCCTGGGCCGCACCTACCACCCCAAGTGCTTTGTGTGCAGCCTGTGCAGGTGAGCAGGTGGCCAGGAAACAGAGGGCCTCTGTGTGAGCCCCAGAGAAGGGGAGGGTGTGGCTTTCCCCAGGCAGATCTGGGGCTCATAGGGCTTACTCTGGGTATCTGGATTTCAAGAACCTAGAGGATGAAAGGATCTGATAGTGATTTTCAAACCATTTAGCAGATGAATCCTATTGGCCACATACACAGTCTGATATGAAATAGTAGTTTGTCCTGTGGTGGAGGCAGAGTGAGGATCCAGGCCCCATGCTCAGCCACCCACTTCCCTTCAAAAGGCCCCCAAGGACCCACTGAGTAACCCTCGGAGGTCAGTTTGGAAGTTCAGGTCTGGCTCAGGCTCCCACATCCTTAAAATAAGCCTGTGTGTTTCTGGTACCACCTCCTGTGGCAGGGTGACCCTGACAAGTTACTTCCGCTCTTTAAGCCTTGGTTTCTCCCTCAGTAATAGGTGGTCAAAACCATCGCAATCTCAGTGAGTTTTTATGGAGAGCAGTGAGATGATATGTTCAAAGACTTTGGCTCAGTGACTGGTACACAGTGTGTGTTTTTCTTATTTTTCCCATTTTCATGGTAACATAGCCACCCTCAACTTCTCCAGTGATCAAGAGCTCTTCCCTGCTCTCTTCCCCACCCCAGCATCTCAATCCCTTATTAATTTAGCAAATGTATATTAAGGTTCCACTGCATGCCAAGAACCACATTAAGGAAATGAAAAAAAAACAATAAAACCTCAACCTTGTCAATAAATATGTTAAAATTTAATGAGAAGTTCTGATTAAGTTATAAGTAAAGCATGATTCATGTATATATTTTTTTCAATTGGGGAAAGAATTTATAATTATTCTCCCCATGAAATAACTAGTTAGTTACTACTTGGAGTAACTAACAAATCTGAATTTCTGATTGAGACTAATGGCAGAGTGTGCAATGAATGTAAAACCCCAGGCCCAGAGTCCTGGGATCCAAGACCACTGGAGGTCAGAACATAAGGTCTATACGGTACAAGGTGAGGTTTTCGTCAAGCCCTGTAGAATGAGGTGACTCTCGAAGGTCATGCTGTGACTCTGCCTTGAATGAGTGGCTGGGTCACAGTAAGAACACGGGTCCCCAGACTCCTCCTGTCCTGGTGTTCCCTCTATCATCCCACAGTGCTAACACAAGGACAGTGGAGCCACTGGAAGCCTTTGTCAGGGGTTACACTCAGAGTCCATAGGACAGGTGTCCCAAATTTCAGGAGCAAGAGCAGCCACGCGATGGGATCGCCAGTGCTGGCAATTCTTTACATGATTTATAATTTAGTGGGGGGAGCCAGAACATATACAAGCTTGAAACTCTTAGACTGGGGAAACTGAATGAATACAGAGGAGGGGAAGACGTATTTGTAGACTTATAAACATCCCATATGAGGGTGGGGTTTAGAGAAATGTCTAGAGAAAGAAAGGAAAAAACATTGGCAAGTTTGGGAGTTGAGTGAGTTCTGGATGTATGGAGAGAGATCAAATGTAGGAGGAAACTACTTCCAGGAAGAGGAGGGAGCCTTCTCCCTCTTACAGCTGAGCCAAGCAAGCTCAGATAAGCAGCATACTTTTGCCCAGTGTCAAGTCAGATAAATGGCCCAATAAGCCTCCAGTTCTGGCCTCCTGGCCCCTGAGCGGTTCAGTCAGCCTGTCACTGGGAACAGCATTTATATTTGCCTGGTGCTCGAGAAGGAAAGCTGAATGTGTTTACCAGACTGCTGTGCGCACCTGCCATGTCAGGTCACCAGTCACCTCAGAATCCCATAAATAGGCACTGACTCTGCCTCAACCCCCTTGCAGGAAGCCTTTCCCCATCGGAGACAAGGTGACCTTCAGCGGTAAAGAATGTGTGTGCCAGACCTGCTCTCAGTCCATGACCAGCAGCAAGCCCATCAAGATCCGTGGACCGAGCCGTGAGTCCTCCCCACAGTGCACTCCAAGTCCATGGGCGTTGTCTCCCCAGGTCCCCTGTCCTACACCTCAGGCCTAAAGAGAAACAGGAGGTTCTGTCCCTGGAGGATTCCTGACGCTGACCCAGTTGGCACAAAGCCCAGACACACGAGCTTCTGAGCACAATGCAGGGAAGGCAGGCTGATCGCTGTGAACAGTGGTGGCTGGTCCTGCGTATCAGCTTGGGTGGGTCTCTTGTGGGACTAGCTGGGTTCCTGATTTTAGGTCCCAAAGGCACCACAGCAGGGTCGATCAAGTATTATATCACCAGTGATTCTCAGTTTTGACAACTCCGCTAAGGAAGAATTTGCAGACATGACTCACAAGTAAGGAAGTAGGGAGGGTCCTGGAAGCAAACCAAAGAAAGGCCTGTGCTCCAGCTTCACCGAATGTGTTCGGTGGATCACCACATCAGGTTCACTCTGCACCTTGTGAAAATATGATTTCTGGGCTCCTCCCACACACACACCCAGGGATAGAACAGAGGCACTGACATTCTTAGTAATTCAAGTAATTCATTTGCTGCTGCTAAAATTGGGAATCACTGTCTAGGGATGAAGGGCACACCTCCCATGGCATCATAGATGTTATGTCTATCACCAAACTACAGATGTGGGGGGAAAGTGAATATCGAGGGTGTGGCCTGGAGCAAGCCTCCTAATTTCTTAAGTTCATTCCACTCAAGTGTACCCAGCGATCAAGTGTCTTAGTCACTACTCCCAGATAGCCTTGTGGGGCGACTGACTGCACACACCTGCACACACGTAGACCTGGCCCCCCGATCTCTGTAAGCCATGCTGGGCTCCAGCATTCTTTTATGTTATATGACACTCTGGCAGACCTCATCAAGAGAATCAATGAAAACCCATTAGCCTCCTGGGCTGCACCACACTGCAGGATTGCAGGGGTGGGGGGGCTTCCCACAGTGGCTCCAGCAGAGTCAGCACATTGGGGGCCTCATCCCACCAAGGAGGATGAGCCGTGAACACCCCAGTCAGCAAGGCTTAGCTCCCAGGGGTCCTAGTAGAGTCCACCCAGATGTGGGCAGCGGAAGGGAGGGACACAGGAAGGCTCTCTCCCTTTCCCACCCTTCCTTTCAGTCCAGTCTGATCTGTCCCTGGAATGTGCAGAGCCCTTCCTCCAGTGTCCTTGTTGGTGTTCACAAGAAGCTGGCTGCTCTGAGAGGTTCTCATCTCAAGGTGGCTGAGCGCACACACGGGAATCCTTCCTAACTCCTTCCAGGCCTCATCCAGAATGACAGAAAGACTGGGAGGCTGGGCCATGGCTCTGTTGCTGATTCTGCTGTGGAGCTCACAGGCCAATGGGCCCACATGCAAGGCAGTAAGGAGGGGGGCGAGTGTGAGTCAGGAAGCTTCCAGCCTTCTGCATGATGCAAAGTGGTCACATAGCCTCTAGGCTCAGTTTACCCAGCCATGAAAGCAGGATGGACTTTCTTATCCACACGGGAGGACTGTAGAAAGCAAGTATACTGCATGCAGAAATCTAGCTGACAGTAGCTTGTAAATATAAAGTGAGGGATGTTATTGGCATGGAGGTTTCACGTAGAGAGCAAAAGAGCAGTGGGAACGAGACTGTGAATGAGTTTTACTTTCCTCAGGTTGTGCTGTGTGTCTCTCTGTGCAGTGGGGTCTCTGACAGGTGGGAGTTTTCCTCGGTGTGGGTGTCTCACATGAAAGCATGTTCTGGAAAAGGAACTCCTAAGTGTCTCCACCATATTTTTGCACACTGAGAGGTAGAAAAGGGTGAGGAGAAGGAAGGAAGGGAAAGAAGGGAGCGAAGAGGGAAGTGAGCAGGTGGGTGGTTTTCAGCGGCAGCACTCGGGGTTATGGCTCATCTCATCACTTACAAAGTAAAGACACCCATCTGTGGATCCACAGTGCATCATTTCATACAATTACTTTCTCCAAGTATGGTCGCTGTTCATCTTGAAAATACAAGGAGACCTCCTGGCTAGGGAGGATGCTGGAAGGTCTCCTGAATTCTAAAGGAAGAAAGAAAAGAAAAGCCAGATCCAAGAGATTGCTAAGAAGAACAAATTGTGGAAAAGGAAAAAAAATAACCTGGTTTTTAAACTGCAAGAGTGTGAAGTGCATCCTTGGAAGGTCAAAAATATTTTGGAAAAAGCAAGAGTGGTGTTTACTCAGAAGGCACTGTGACGAATACTCAGAAACTGTCAAGAGGAATGGATTGTGTTACCACAGGAGGAAGAAATATCTCCTCATATACATCCCGGAGAAGAGTCAACAGCAGCAGTACAATCCTCATTACTACTCCCGTCCCCACCGCCCTCACCCACTGCTAACAGCGATTGACTGTTATTACCAGGCACTGGACAGGGCCTTCACCACCACCATCATGTTATCTCCACCACCATCACCACCAGCTCCCTCACAACCCCCAGTGCCACCCTCACCAGCATCACCACTGGCAACACTGATTATTACCATCATCAGGCACTGCACTAAGGCTTCCAGAGAGAATATCTCACTTAATCATCACAACAACTCTACAAGGGAGATGAGTGATTGTTTTATAGGTAAAGAAAACAATGAACATAAATGACTTTCCCAAAGTAACCCAAATAACAAGACATGAGACCAGGCTGCCTGGCTCAGCAGACTATCCCCATATTATTCTACCCAGAAACGTGACTGCTAATTGGGAAGGGTCCTGTCTTCCTGGATTAGTTGCCTAGACAAAGGTGTGTAGCCTGCTGTGACTCACAAAACCTAGTTATTTTTGCCACGCTACGTGGAATGAATGGCATAGTCAATGAAACTAAAAATGGACGCCTTCAGAGGGTTGAGGAACCAACTGAGGAATCTGGGAGGGACAGGTGGTGGCATCATACTTTCTGCCAGCTGGAGATTGTAATTTTGGAATAGAGAGGGACATGTGAGGATTGGCCAGCTGGCTCTACAGAGACCAGTTGAGGATAAGATGTGGTTTTCCTGAACCTGCCCATGACACCAGACCTGTGGGCTCCCAGATTGGATGCCTGAGGCTCCACCCATGGTTAAGAATGAATGGATGACACAGCGGGATAGAAAGTTCCAGATGAGTATGAAACCAATGCCATGAAGGACCCCGTAAAGTGACATGAAAAGAAAAACCACATGGCGAGGGTGGGCCAGGATTCTCCAGAGGAATAAGCAGGAGCATTTCATACAGCTTCACATCAGTGACTGGGCAATGCCCAGAATGTGGATCAAAACACAAGTCCGTGAGATAATGACAGCAACCACAGATCAGGTGAGCGTTACCTATACCAGCCTCACTGTGGGGAAGACATTCAGAGGAGGATGCCTGGGCTCAGAAGCTACACGACTCTGTTCTGTAAGACCCACTTATTCATACACAGGGAGCTGAGACTGTCACCTCGGCCAGCTTCTGTCATTCACACCAGCTTCTCAGCCCACCTGTCAACGACTGCTCTGTACCAGCTCCTAAAGGTTTGAAGTCCACCGCACAGCTATCACTGTAACTGAGAAGGACGGCTCACATTATTAGGACAGGGCTATGCAAGTATGCTCTTATTAAATCAGTTTTATTGAAAAGGTGAAAAATTGTGTATCAACTCACACTGTGCCTTCCTGCCTGGAACCCACAAGTGAATCTGATCAGTAGATGACCACATCGAGGGAAATGTAAAGAAGGAAGGATAGGAGAGAAACTGTGCTCAATCTTTAAATAGTGAAGGGCAGAGCAAATTATTCTTAGTTGCATCAGCAATGGAGCACAGGAGTCAGGCCTCGGCTCCACGTAAAGAAGATGGCCATGGTGGCCGTGCCTAGCCTGATACTCGATAGCCTTTCTCAAGATGAGCTGAATTGACTCCTGGCTGTGAATGAGCAGAGAATGGTGCCCACCTGTCAAGAGTACAGCACATTCCTGCACTGACTGGGACATTTGACCAAATGCTCCCTGAACTGGAGCCCCGGTGAAATTATTAAGTCCTGTGGGGGCAGCTCCAGAGACAAGCTGACCTAGAAAACTTGATTAAATGCCTGCAGCAGCTACACTGAGGTTGGGCAAGTCACTTCAGATGCCTGTCTGTCTATAAAAGGGACAAGGGGGCCTGACCTTTCCAAACTATCATGTTCTGAAGCCTGTAATTGTTGGGGGTGGGAGAGCTTAAACTCATTCCAGAGAAAAGAAAGGGAAGGAGATAAATTTCCAAACTCTGCATTCTCCCAGCCTCCATCTGAAGGCCTGGGACTGCAAAAGTTTTGCAGTTGGAGACCTCCCTGCTTCCAACCATGTTAGAAAGGCGTAGATAGCCAAGAGGCGGGAACAGGAGGACCAGACCCACACAAACACTTCATCAGGGCCTAGGCCCTCCCCACAGCCTGTGGGACACACTACCCTTTCAGACAGGGGAACACATCAGCTCCGCTCACAAGACTGGCCTCCAGCTGGAAGAAAAGCTGTCCGGCCAGGCTCCTCCAATTTTATGCATAGTTTTTCTTCCCACTGCTCCAAAGTGTGCCTTCGTCTTTAGGCACCAACACAGAGGTTTGTCCTGTGGTAAACTTTGCCCTGTGACCTTCTTCCTTCAAAGTGGGCCATCCGGTCAATGAGGCCTGAATTCCCAGAATCTCCCAAGTACCTTGGACGCTGGCTCCATTTCCTGTCCCAACATTCATTGAGCAACAGTCAGACTGCTGGGCCAAACACACACACACTCTGCTGGCCCCAGCATGGGTCCAAGGTGACAGTGCTAGGGAGCGAGAGCATATTTCTGGCATGGCACAGTCTCATCAGGCTCTAGCCCTGAATTCCTGAGAAGGCAAGTGTGTGGCAGATAAGCAAACAGGAAAGGACTGGGCATGAAAAATGTTCTTCTCTTCCTGGGTTCTGTAAGACCCACTCACTCATACCCCAGCAAAAGTGCTTTGAGTTCCTGCTATGTGCTTAGCACCATGCTACACAAGGAAATAAATACAGCCACAACACATAGCCCTGGCCCCTGCCATCGAGTAAGTATACAGCCTAAGAAGGGAGAAAGAAAAACACAGCCTGTCCCAAGGAGCAATGCTTCTCAAATTTTACCGTGCACAGAAACCTCGTTAAAATTCAGGAGGTCTGAGAGGGGCTGAGATGTTGTATGCTGTGAGCTCCTGGTGATGAAGATTCAAGGCCAAGAAGAGGAGCATGAGCTTAGTTGAGGAGGGGCCGAGGAGTCAGGGGCCATTTTGGATGACTGGTGCCTGGGACAAGAAGTAGGAAGGTCTTTCCTTTCACAGAAGGGACCATGGGCCAGGGCTTTGGTGGCCTCTTCCCTCTCCTGGTAGAGTCTCTGGGAAGCTGCCAGCGCCGGCACTGGGGCACCTGCAAGCAGACCGACGTCCGAGGAGGAGTTCCCTTGACACGGGTGTGAGCTGAGGGTGGGAGGTCAGGGGCCCAGAGGTTTTTCTCAGCAGCATCTCCTGTCTTTGCAGACTGTGCTGGATGCAAGGAAGAGATCAAGCACGGCCAGTCACTCCTGGCACTGGACAAGCAGTGGCATGTCAGCTGTTTCAAATGCCAGACCTGCAGTGTCATCCTCACCGGGGAGTACATCAGCAAGTGGGTGTCGGCTCCCACCCCACCCGCTCCTGGGCCTCTGCATCCTACAGGGCCTGAATCCCCAGCGTCCCCTTCTGTCGGCTGCCACACTCGGACCACAGCAGCTCTCTCCACTTGTGGGCACCTCCCGTGCTGTCTCCTCCGCCCAGCACGCTCTGCCCCACTTCTCACCACTCGTGTCTTCACTCTCCTTCCCTCTGCCTCTGCTCCCCAATCACTCACCACCTCCACTCTCATCACAACCCTCAGCCTGCCCTGTGTTTCCTTCACAGGAGCTACCCCCATTCATAATTATACATCTCTCAGTTGTAACTTTTTAATAGTGATGATAATGCTCACTACCACTTACTTCTGAGCTTTTGATGTTCTGGTTACTGAGATACGTGGTGTCTGTTTCCACAGGGCACTGAGACTCAGGGGGGTGAGTGACTTGCTCCAGAGATGGTGTTTACTCTCTGTCCCCATCAGGACAGGAGTTTTCTTTTAGTTGCCATCGAATTCCCCTGTTCTTAGCATAATGCCTGACTATAGTCCATCATAGCTGTTGAATGGATTTAACTGAGAAGAGAGGAGAAAATGGACCCATAAAATGATCAGGATGGAGCAGCCACCCCCACTGAGAGATCTGCACCCTGGAGCTTTGGATAAGTCCCCCCTTGTTGCTAGGCCCGAGGGACCACATGTGTTTACTCAGGTACCTAAAATCAGTTATGAGCACAGACCTTCTTCCATGCCCTGACCCTTTCTGACTATAGATGCTCCCGAGCCCCACTGTGGAACTCAATACCAGAAGATGTGAGCGTGTAGAGCTGCCACAGACATGGTGTCTGCTCTCAGGACACTCACGGTGTCTAACAAGGGAGATAAGCTGTGTGCATGAAGAACGAGGGCACCAAGAAGTGTGTGAAAAGAGCTCGTGAGAAGTTTTATTCATTAAGACCTTTGTTCAATCATAAGTGACAGAAAACCCAATTCCATCTCACTTAAAAGCAAGAATTGGAATTTATTGACTCACAGAAATGGAAAAGTCAGAGACACACTGGCCTCAGACACAACTATATCCAGGGAGCTCTCTTTCTCTCTGTCTCTCCTTCTCTCTCTAACTTTCTCTCTCTCCCTCTCTCCCTTCCTCCCCCACTCTCCCTTGTTGGAGTCATTCTAAAGCAGGCCCTCCCCAAATGCTAGCAAACAAGATCACAAGCAATGCCATGATTTTGCACCATCAGCGTTTTTCCCAAGATCTCCAGCAAAAGTCCTATGGCTGCCTCTATTTGGCTACCGTTGGGTCACGTATCCATTGCCCACTAGTCACTAGCTAGGAAGACCCAATCCTAGAGCCAGAGAGCAGCTTTTGGTAAAGGCCCACAGAAACTGAGAGTGGAAAGGAATAGCCTCAGGGGGAAACCAGGTACGGTGACCAGCTGAAAGGGAAGCAGAGGCTAGCCATGGATCCTGACCAGTGAACAGCACTTGCTCATGCCCAAGGTGCAAGTGAAGGGTGGTGAACACTCAGAAAGGGGGAAATCACTTCTAACTAACAGGAAGCAGAATCTGTAATCTGTAAGCTCCTTGTGGAAGGTGGCAGTATTGCCCTAGATTTTGAAAAAGGGGGTATGATTTGAAAATGCAGCAGAGAGCTTCTAGGCAAAATGCTTAGCCTAGCAGGGACAGGGAAATGGGAAGTGTTGAACGTTTCCACCATGTTTGGAAGCTCAAGTGTGCACACAGGGGAAGAAGAGTCCCAGACTTGCAGAGGTGAGCCGAGGCTGGGTCACCAAAAGTCCTAAAGACCCCGTCAGTAGGAGGCTGGCATTCTTCTCCAGGCCTACCAAGTAAGGAATGTCCTTTGTAAGTGGCCAGCCAAGTATCCTTGAGTCTGGGAGCCTACATCAGAGTTCTCCAGGGAAGGCAGGGTCTTCTCAGAATTCCTCTCAAGGAGGCCCATCCCAGACTGCTCACCACATCTGGTGCCTCTGCAGTCTGGCTCTTAGCTCCTCACCTGGCTGCGGGAGAGGGGCAGGGGCTCCAAGGCACTGGCTGTGGCACCAGATGCCCAGGATTGAAGCCAAGCCTGTGTGACCTGGGCCAGGGACTCTCAATCTTAGTTTCCTCATTGTTAAAAATAGGATTAGTAAGTAGGAATATATAAAGGCCCAGAGATCCATGCTTAATACCTTTTATATTTATTTATTTGTGTTCATTTGTTTGTTTATTTATTGGTGCCAGGGATCAAACCCAGGTCCTTGTGCTTGCTAGGCAGGCAGCAAAATCACTGAGCTAAATCCCTGCCCTTCATACCTTTTAAATACCCAATAAATATTCACTTTACCATCTGCCTCTTTTCTTTTTTGTACTGGGGATCGAACTCTGGACCTTGCCCTTGTGATGCAGGTGGCAGAACCACTAATCTAAATCCCCAGCCCCACCATCTGCCTCTTTTAAGAACTGTGTATATTTCACATTGTCTGAGGCCTCCCCAGCCCAGGGATCTGCTGAAGTTGTGTTGGTTGCTTCACTGTGTCAGCCTTCTAACAAATGACTTTTCCCCCTACAGAGTTACCCTCTTGCACCCACAGAGTGAGAACAAGTTCTGGCTTTGTAGGCCCCACCTCACCTCCAGACCTTTGTCAGGCCTCAGCCCTTGCCACTGCTTCTCCTTCAAATAAACACTGGCTGCCCTGTGTCCCATTAGGGCTCCCAGCAGTCCCAGGGTGGCTTCAGCATTGAGATGCAAAAAAAAGGCATGTCTGCTCTGTGGGCCTGTTCGTGTCTGAGCCAGATTCTCTTATACCCAGAGTGGGAAAGTGCCCCTCTCTCTCCTCAGACTTCGGAATGAGTCTTTACAGGTAGATGGATCCCACAGGCTATCCTGAGCTCACTGAGGCCCCCAAACTCTATGTCAGCCCCAGATTAATGAGCACCCTGGTGGCCACTGCCATTGCTGCGAACACACCAGGGGTAGGCACTGAGCTAAGCCCCAGGAGGCAATGGACCCATCACCTTTAATACTCATCCACCCCTGGACAAGAAACCAGATGACCAGGGCTTGAGACCTAGCTTTAGGTCATCCTAAGTAGCCAAAGCTGAGTCACCAACTACTCCATTCTCGGGGTTTTTTTTTTCATGAACCCACTGGGAAACTAACAGCTGAATGCTTATTAGGCTGCTGTAAGGATTAAGTGCAATAATCTGCGTGAAATACCATCAGAGGATGTGGCACATGCAGGCAAGAAATACCAGGGGTTTAGTAGTAGTAGGGGGTAGGATAGGAATAATTAAGAGCAGGCTTGTCATTTTGTCTGCTAGGTTGTAAGCACTGGGTAGAAATGGAATACCTAGGAGGGGTTCAGAGGAGGCTACCTTATCTACTGATCCCACAGCACAACCAGATGGTTCTTTCACTAGAGGTGAAAATTTTTATTAAAGAAGAGCCTTAAATTGATCACACACATGACCTCTCCAAGGCAAACAGGATGGGGCTAGAAGGAGGGTGAACACTTTTCTCTTTATGCCTTGAGAATGCTGTAGTATATGCAAATACTATTACCTATTCCAAATAAAGCAAAACTTAAGTTCTAAATAAGTTTCAAAAATCATCCTCCAAGACAAAGGGAATAGAATGGGTCCAGAGAATGTGTGCAAAGCGGGGAAAGTCGAGTGGAAAACGGATGCCCCAGTCCAGCAGTCTGGAGCAGGGCTTCCCGTTCATGCTTGGGGAGTGCAGCAGATGCAGACTTCTGGACCCGCCCCAGGGATTCTCTGACTTATAATATGAGGGGTGTCGGAAGCGTTTGCATCTTAAATAAGCTCCCCAATTTCTTCCAATCTTGGCCCAGTGCCCCCATAGGCTGCAGGTCCCGACCACTCGCTGATCCTCTAATTTTCCTCCTGCAGGGATGGCGTCCCATACTGCGAGTCTGACTACCATTCCCAGTTCGGCATTAAATGCGAGACTTGTGACAGATACATCAGCGGCAGGGTCTTGGAGGTGAGTGTCTGAATAACCATGCAGATGGGTGAATGTGAACGGGGTGGCTTGTCCACGCAAAAAGCCACCACGGAAGAAGGGGAAACACCCCTTCGTCCACAGCCTCAGCCTCCGCCAGCTTTGCTTGCTACCTGACCTTGCAAGGTAACCTTGCTCTGAGATCTCTGAGCACACCCAAAATGAGAGGGTGGACAAAATTATTTCTGGTTCAAGAACTGCTGGGCTGGAAAAATCAGTTGCTTCTTTGGATCCAGACCCAGACAGTTCTGGGAAGTGACAATGGGGATTTTCCTCCTAGCCATGCCTAAAGATGGAAGGGTTTTTGTTTTTTTAACTGTTTGGTAATTGTGCTGCTTTAAGAACCAGCTTGTCTAGCAGCTCGCTCCCTAAGCCCTTCTTTGGCTGGTCCATCACCATGGCAACAGCTCTCCCTCCCGGCCAGCCCAGGTGGAGCTGCGAGCTCATTCTGCCCATGGCCAACAACCTGCAGCACTTTGCTGAGCCATTGCCTGTGCCCTCTGTCCACATCCCGGTTCTGTGCCTTCCTTTTCGCACTCCATGGACCTGGAGGATTTCATCTCCTACTTTGGGATCACCCATTTTGAAGAATTAGAAACAGAAAAGAATTGTGTCCAGAGGGAAAATACTAGTCTAAGAGTGAGGACAACTGGGATCTAATACCATATTGACTCTACTGCCAACTGATTCTCAGATGTGGGTGATGACCTTCACATCGCTAGGCCTTGGTTTTTCATCTGACAATGCCTGAGGACTGGCAGTCGGGGGTCAGCCATTGTGAATAATGACTCATTCTGTCCAGTCTGACCTGTGGCCACATGTGGGCTCTGCAGGAGAGAATGCAGCAAAGGAGAAAGGACTCTCCAGGGGGCTGCACTGATGCAGAGCTCTGAGGATGAGGGGCCTGCATGCAAGAGCAGGCCGAAGAAAAGCTCAAGCCAGGGGAGCAGAGGAAAAGGCCAACGTGGCTGAATTTTGTAAACTGAGGATCAGGGAGGCTGTGGAATGTCACAGAGAACATGTCACATAGGACTGTGTAGATCATGTGTAAGAGTTCGGGTTTCATACTAAGTACACTGGAAAGCTGCTGGAGATTTTTAAACCAGGGGGTAACATGATAGGGCTATGTTTTTAAAAGATCACACTGATTGCTACGTGGAGGGTCGATTATAGGAGTAAGAGAGAAAAAGATAAACAAATCCACCAAACATCTCCAAGGGGTACTAGGGGGTGCAACACAGAGAATGAGGCTTCAGTGCAGGAAGGTTTATTAGGTCCAGGTTTCCAGGGCCAGGATACAAGGATGAGGAGTTTGCATGTGATTCACTTCGGAGTGTGGAAAACTTGAGAAGTGACCTGATCAGAGCTACACTCAGCAAAGATGATGTTTCTGTGCTCATGGGCTAAATCTGAAAGAGGGAAATAGGAAAAGAGTGACAAGGGCAAGAGCTTTGTCTCCCGCGTTATGAAAACAGAATTCCAGTAACTCTGCAACTGAGGGGCAGCTGAAGGAGAAAAGGTCAAACGTTCCAAAATATCAAGCCTGGGTGTCAGAAACCCCAGGGTCTGCATTTGCAGCACAGGAGATGGCAGGGAGACAAGCGGGTCTGGGCAGAAATGTCTGGGGGGATGGATTGTGATTAAATCCTGGGGAGGTTTTGAGAAAGCAGTCAGAAATATGAAGCAGAACTCAGGTCTAAAGGAACCAACAATATCACTAGGATTTGAATCATAATACCAGGGAATACAGTGGTCATGATCTTCAAGACAGGGGAGAGGGAGAGGGAGAAGAAGACGGAGAGGGAGAATCTCAGACAGTGGTTGACTACAGTTGGCAGAAAGAGATGAAGGGTTATCAGAGGAAAAAGAGGGACTCTGGGGGACGTGGGGGGACAGGTGATGCAGGGAAAGGACAGTTAAGGGTTACGGTGGCTGGTTGTGCCTGCCAAATTGAGGAAGAGGAATCCAGCATCCCAGGGGTCAGTGGAATGGGAGATCACAAAGGTTGGCCTTTCTTTTAAGAAGGGAAGAATTTTGGATACACAGGGCTGCATATGGGAAGTTGTCTCAGCATTTCCAAGCTGCTTTGAAATTCTCCAGGGCGATAGTTCTTTCCCTGCTGGCATTGCTGTTTAACATGGTAACAGTCTCTTCCTCCAGCAGTTGTGACTGGGTTTTGATTGATTCCATTTGTGTGAGGCTCCATTAGCATCTCGGACTTATTGATTTCTTTTTCTTAGAGTTGGAAGAGACTTTCAGCAATCAACTAGTTCAACATCATTTTACAGATGAGAAAAATGAGACTCAAGACAGGAAGTGTGTTTTCAAAGTCACAGAATATCTGGTAAAGACAGGTCAAATCTGGGCTCCTGTGTCCCACGTCGATGCCCACTGTGCTCAGCCCCTCAGAGGTCTTTGAGGTAGCATAATGATTACAGGGAAACAGACTTGGACTCAAACTTTACCACTTCTAGCCATGAAGCCTTAATCTAGTTCGTTTCACTTCTTCCAGGTCTCAGTTATTATCTATTTATAAGGATTACTGCTGCCCTAATTTCAATTCTGATGAATTTATGCTGTTTCTGGGAATTGAACCCAGGGTCTTCCACTGAGCTATATCACCACACCTTATTTTTTATTTTAAGACAAGGCCTCACTAAATTGTTAAATTCCTTGGGCTGGGCTCAAACTTTTGATCTGCCTGCCTCAGCATCCCAGAGTGCTGGTTTTACTCACACACAACCAGGCCTTCTAATAGATATGTTAGTTGGGGGGCGGGGGGAGCTGTCATTGAAGGAACTATCTCTGAATGATGCTGAAAAGAAACTGCATTAGGGGCCAGGGATTTAGCTCAGCGGTTCGGTGGCCTGCCTTGCAAGCGCAAGGACCCAAGTTCAATCCCCGGTACCCCCCCACCAAAAAAAAAAGAAGAAAGAAAGAAACAGCATTAGTCCTGGAGTAGTTCCGTCTTCAGGTCCTTATGGATCCGGTGCCAGAATAAAATCACTTGGAAACACTGACCATCTTAGAGGCTCCACTTTCTTCTGCATCGACTTTATTCCCAGGAAGGCTCTTCTTTGCAATGGAGACATTGGACACCACCAGTCCCTTTAGGCTGACATCCTACCAGCCAACATCCCCCAGGAGAAAGCAAGCTTCTCTTTCCTAAAAGCTCAGCAAACATCCCAGAGCTGACTCTCACTGGACACTTTCAGGCCCATCTCTGACCAGAAGCTGTGACTGTAGAATTAGAATAAGCTGATGAATGGGGTCAGCACTACCCAAATGTGTAGACTGGTGTGGGGGTCAGGTAGCCCACCAGGGACAGACTTGGTGCTGTTCCTAGAGGGAAGAGAGAGAAGGCTGGGAGGCAGCTACCTAAAATAGGGCCAGCACAGTGCCAGAACACCACTGGCACTAAATCAACTGTTTCTTGTCTTCTCACCCCAGCCCTGCCCTTCTCTCCTCAGGCCGTCCCATAGTCCCTTCCTTGGTGACAGTCAATATTCCAAGTGCCAGTCACCACCCTTCTTTTCTTGTCCATGTCCCCACCCAAGAGAACCGTGATTGGTCTTGGTACTGCATTCCTAACCTTGGTTACCATTTTCAGTGCTTTCTGGGTACCAACTCTTTCCTTTTTTTTCATTATTTTCTTAATTTCAGTTTGTTAACAGGTGAAATGGTTCACTTTAGCTCACTGACTTGGTTTTTTCTTATGTTGGGTACATGCTGCCCTCCTTTCTGTCAAGTCACTTTCTACATGGTCCATGGCTAGGGTTGCTGAGATAGGCACAAAGCCTCTTTTACTATGACAGGGTGTGTGGGGGGTGACATTTAGAAAGAGGCTGTTTCAGTTTTGCCAAGGTGCTGTTTCTACTCTGGAAAAAAAGGTCTATAATTGAAATGATAAAGAGACACAGAGTAGGAAGAGGCTACTAATTAAACCAATTATCCTTGTCATGGCACAAGAGAGTCAGTCCCATGACTCCCTAGCTTAGGAAAATAGCAGACTCCTTCTCAAGTCTGAACATAGTTTGCTCAGATGATGACAAGGACATTTTCTCTTTGGTGGGAGCCAGCCACCAAGAGTGATAAAAAGGGATACTGGAGATTTTCTTTCCTGTTGTAAAAATCTGCCCCTTTCACATTCTTACTAAGTTTGTAGCATAAATTAAGCATTTCTAGAATAAGCAATCCAATCCTAACAATTTGCATCCCCAAAAGAAGTTTAGAAATAGGTCCTCTTATTGTGCTACTGTAATTTTTTACTTGAAAGGAACCTATTAGCATCAGACCAAGCTATGGTTTGGAGGGGGCAATTCATGAACCCCAAATCCATCAATTGCCCTTAGATATTTCCTGTTCCCCCCAAAAAAACCCTGCCCTAACATGCGAAATATTCATTCAGAGTCAGCCCTACCTTCCAACCCAGGTGCTACACCACTCTAACCATATAGAAATCCCGGAGCCACTGCCCAGGGCCCTTACACCTCAAGTCCTTTCATCTGGGGTTTTAGAGTCAGAACCAGCAGCATGGAAGTGTGCACTGGGCTGGTGACTGCGTCCTACAGTCCGACCCCAGTGCTGCTACTGGTTTCTGGTGAAACCTTAAGGCACAACCTTCTCTGAGGCCGTTTATTCCCCACACAGAAGAATTTGCAGGATGCATCCATTTTCATTTTTAATTTAAATAGTTGTGGGGAAGAAAAGTGGAAAAAGTGAAGGAGACTCACAACCAAATCAGGGTGGGCTGGGCTCAGAGTCAGTGCACCCATGTGGGACAATCCAGACTGAGAGGTAGGGGTCCCCAGCAGGTCCTGGACTTTCAAGCACAATTATTTGTACACTGAACCCCAAAATCTGTCTTTTACATGCTGCTCTCACAGTTTTTGCCATGTCTGAGAACCATGTGTACTCATTTTTACTGAATACTTTAATCTGTCTTTGCCATATTGCAGGTAACCTAAAAATGAATGCAGTTCTAGCTAGATTCAGTTGCTCATGGAGGTTACAAGCCCCTACACATTTTTTTTAACAAAGGTAGAGTAGTATGTTTTGAATAGATATTAAAGATGCACTGGCACCAAAGTGGTATTCCCTCTTTAATAAAACTGGAAAAATCCATAGAAGACTGAAATGGAGATTTTTTTTTTCTTCCTTGAACCAGTATTAATAAAGTTCCCAGTTCCTGTACCACTTCAAATCACTTCAGGTACCATTAGTGGTAGAGGCCCCAAACTTGGGGAAATATTGGAATATCCTCAAAGCAAGGCTGTTTCCTCATGTGGAAATAAGGAGGTGGCAAGAGCAGCCTCTGAAGGGCCCTTTTCCCAGCAAGTGTCCAGGAAGGACCTGGAGCTGCCATTAGGGACAGGATGGAAGGAGTCACCAAGCTTGCTGGGTGGATGCTCATATGATTCTAACCCTGCTCCCAGTAGCCCCTCAACCAACCATAGGGCCGTGAAGATGCCAACAATACCAACGTACCCAGGAAAGCAGCCTGTGCCCCCTGGACAGCAGCCCCAGCTCTGACATCCTGTTTTGTCTCTTGCTTTTCATAGGCAGGAGGGAAGCACTACCACCCCACCTGTGCCAGATGTGTACGCTGCCACCAGATGTTCACCGAAGGGGAGGAGATGTACCTCACAGGTAAGTGAGTCTGACCCTCTGTAAGGCATTCCAATCCACTCGTGACTGGAAAGGAGATACAGTCTCCTTCCATTTCAGTGTTACCTTTGCAACTGGCTTGTCCTCAAAATTGAAATTAATTCTCCTCTCTCTGGGTGGACAGGGAAAGTTGTTGGTGTGGCTAATATGAAGTGACATGTAATCTGCCTTCCGTCCCTGTGGGTCTCCACCCGCTGCTCAGCTGGCCTGCTTCCCTGGCAGTGCTCTGAGAAGACTCCCCTGGCTCTGCCTGGGGTGGGAAACTGGGCTACACAGGGCCAAGGGCATGCCTGGGTTGCAGAGTCTGCCGGTACCATACAACCTCATAACCCTCCACCCCGTCCCATCCCTTCTCCCTGGCATCTCAGGACATCACAGCAGCTGCCCTCAGGGCTTCAAAGGCTCTCAGAGTACACAAAGAGGAATGGAAGGCACCAGCCATACCCTAAAAGTAAACCAGGCTGCTATTTCCCAGGATCCAGCCCTCTTACCTAAGGACTGCCCACGTCATCTGATTGATCTCCAGGTTCTGCTAAGTCCCTATCCTCTGCCCAGCACAGCCCAGTGCTCTTGGCTCTGCTCCACTGAGAAGTCTTCCCGGCCCCTCCCTGCCCACAAGTTTAGGTGCACTCAGCCCAGCAAAGAAGATCATCTCACCAGAGTCCCAAACTTCCTTTCTAGCCTGGAACATACCCATTACTTCCATCTACTCATTCATCCCTTCAACAACCATTTCTTGAACCCCTACTGTAAGCAGGCTCTATACCAGGGGGATTGTGAGGACCCCCGCACCCATACAGTCCAGTGACGGATTAGTGCCAGCGTGGTGAGCACTCTGAAGGGGAGCAAGATGAGGTGGTGAGCACACTTGATGAGCACACTTGATGAGATCCTGGATGAACGGGCGTTAACTGGCATCTCCATCTGCAGGCTGCTATAACAAACTACCATGGCCTATGTGGCTTATGAACCGCAGAAATGTATTCCTCACAGTTCTGGAGGCTGGGAATCCAAGATCAAGGGGCTAGTAGATTTGGTGTGTTTTGAGAGCCCACTTTCTCATACATGGTGCCTTCTTTCGGTGCCCTCACAAGGTGGAAAAGGCCAGCAACTTCTTGGAACTTAATGAATAAGGGCACTTATCTCATCCATGAGGGCTGCACTGTCATGACCTGACCACTTCCCATAGGCCCCACCTTCTCCTGCCATCATCTTGGAGGGTCGGATTTCAATATATGGATTGGGGGGAACACAAACATCCAGACCACAGCAACTGAACAAAGAGAGGAGGAATGGGGTTTGCCAGCCTGGGGAGACAGAATCCTTAAATCTCTGAGGTGGGTGAAGAAATGGCAAATGTGTGAGGCCAAGACTGAGGCAAGGTGGACCGGGGAGACAGGCAGGTGGAGTCTGGACTGGGCCTTGTGGATGGTGCTGAGCCCCTGAAATGAACGCAGCTCTTCCCATTGTCCTCTTTCACCCTTCCTGGGTAATTCTATCATGCTAGACCCCATTCAAAAACTACACACTTTTTAAACACCCCAGGTTACCCCATCTGACATCCTCCCTAAATTCTCATGGCTCTTTGTGCTTGGTCCCTCCGGGTTGGGTAAGAGTTGTTGGTCTTCTCCCTGAGTTCCCTGGCTCCTGGTATTGGCCCCTCAGCCCTAACATTGGCCCCCCCTGCTCTCATCAAACAACTGATCACTGCTGAGTTGCTACAGCTGCTACCCCTGCCCATGTGTTTGAGCAGTGATCTTGGAGAGTAGAGAGAGACCTTCTCCCAAGTTTTCCCAAAGGCAGCTCTGATTCCATGGGGCCAGTTATAAGAAGTGTGTCTTCTCATCAGGTTTGTCTAAGCCACAGATGCCCAGTGCCAGGAGTTAATCTTAAACTCTAATGAGTACCCTGGGCCTACAGCAGAGTTTCTCAACCTCAAATTACTGACATTTGATGTGGCTAATTCTCTGACGTGACGATTGTCCTGTGTACCACAGCTTATTTGGTAGCACCCTGGGTCTGTACCCACCAGATACCGGTAATAAGCCCTTTCCTATTTTGACAACCAAAACTACACAGATATTCCCAAATCCATCCTCACTTGGGACCCACCGGCCTGGAATATTCAACAGAAACCTTTGCCATTAGTGGCAGTTCTGGAACAGGGATTCTACGTTAGCTTGGACAAGGAGACCATTTCTAAGCTTCTCTAACACAATAACTAGTTACTGTTTGTACTCATGTGCCTCTTAGAGGCAGAAGGACCCAAGCAGTTATTCTAAACTGCAAAGTGACTACCCACATTGTATAGTTGGGAAAAACAGGCCCAGAGAAAAGAACAGACCTAAGTAAGAACCAGAGGGTAAAGGGACAAAGCAGGACTTGGCCTTGGCAATCTCCTTCCAGGACCCTGTCCACCTGACCTCTTGAGGCCCAGGACCTGGCTGCTACTCAGGTCCCCGCCCCTTGCAAGGAGCACCAGCCCCTCAACGCCTGGGTCCCCCAGTGATTTCCTGCTACGGGAGCCTGTGTTACACATCCCAGCAAACTACACAATGTCCACATGGGCCCCAGCCACCCTGGGGATCTGGAGTTTGCATTTGGTTGGGAAAAGTGCTGTGCAGTCTTCCTTCCCCTCCTCTGATAAACTCCTCTCCTGGTGCTAGTCCTGCCCTCTCAGCCAGATTCCCACCCGTGCTTCAGTAGGACAATCAGCATCTGCACCTTCCCGCCTGAATTCCCACTCTCCATCTGCCTCCATTTATGCTTTGACCCAGACTGCCTTGCTGTGAATCCTGGACCTACTCCTTACTCGGTTTTTTATCTTGGGCAAGTCTCTTAACTCTCTGAACCTTGATCGTGTAACCTGTAAAACAGACAAGGACCCATGTGTTCATTTAAGAAATGGCCATTGAGCACCTGCTGTGTATCTGGAGCTGTTCTAACAACTGGAGCTGCAGCCGAGAGTAGGTCAAAGGCCCTGCCCTTGTGGAACTCACAGGCTCATGGATCAGGAGCTTTACTCATCCAACTTCACCCAGATGCTGAAGGAGTTAAGTGATAGAGTGAACAGCTCTGTGATCATGAGAAAGGCTGCACCATCAAACCTAAGGCAGACATGCCTCCAGGAGGTGGGAGAGATCCTTGGTCGTGAAGAAGGGCTTGTCACCCTCTCATTAATTATCCCCATCCCTACCCTCCTGGCTCCTGAGAGAGTAGGAGTAATTGCAGGGTGATCAAGGACCAGCTCAAGGGATGCTGAGCGATCCTGGAATGAGGAGGCTCAGGCCAATTGAGTCATGCTGACTTGGGCTGTGGGTGTCTTATGGGGGTGGCAGCACCAGAGTTTTCTGCTACAGCTGAGATGGGCCCTGGCCATCCTCAGAAATGGCAAGAAAACCCCCTCCCAGGCAACAAAGGAGTGGGAGGAGCCAGCCGTGTGCCATAGCTCCGGAGTTGGTGTCATCACTTCCACTACGGACTGGGACATTAAAAAGTGACTCTTTTCTCTGGATCTCCTCTTTCCCTGTCAAATGAGCAGGCCATCACTGTCTCATTGATCACTCCACTGGAGGCCTCACTACACTCCAGGCTCTCTGTTATGTGTTAGGGGCACAGAGACGAGCATGGCAGGCAAGCTCACTGCTCTAGGGGAGTTTACTATTTGGAAGAGAAGATTGGCATTAATGTGACAGAAGTTCAGGCATTCACTGGCAAGCTGCGGAAAGCACTGTGAAAAGCATTTGGGAACAATGAGAATATGTCACAAGGCCCCTATCTTGTCTGTAAGGCCAGGGAGGCTTCCCTGAAGAAGGGACATTTCAATCCATAGACCTGAAAATGAATAGAAAGTGGAGGTGAAGAGGAAGACTGTGAAAGCCATGAGAGCAGCAGATACAAAGGCGCCCATAGGAGAAAGCATCACACACAAGGTTCGTATGAACATTAGAGGAGAGAAGGAATGTAACGGTGCTGCGGACCTATAAAAGAATGCATAAAAGTCCGAGGAGAGAGACAGACAGGAACAGAATGTGTGTGTGAGCACGCCTGCAAAACTTAGCAACCCAGTCTCATCAGCTCCGTAGCTGGACAACCTGGTACTGGCAAATGGTCCTCAGGAGATTCTCTGGCCAGTTTGTCTGTGCTTTAACTGTGGCACGATGGCTTTCCAAAGGGCTCTCATTGGGAGAAGTCTGATGTCTGTCTGGAGGAGAATTTCCTGGCAAGCTGCAGAAGCTCCAAGAGACAAGAGCAAGTTTTCTTTCATTTGTTCTAAGTCCTGTTGCACATTCAGTCTTTTAACTGCTTTTGTAAAGATGCCAGTTATCTAATCTGTTTGTTATCCAAACCCTTCATTTGGTCTTCACCAAGAAATTAGGTCACTGATTTTTGTGCAGCAGAATAATAGCTAAAATGCTGCAGGTTTAGGACAGAACTTACACCTAAATCTCAAAGGTTACAAAGGCTGACCCCATGAGAATTTTTCTAGACTCCAAACATAGTCTGTGAGATAGATTTTTGCTCTTTTTCTAAGTGTGCCTGCACTCAGGAAAAAGGGGAAGATAGATTCATGCTCTTCCCTTCTGTCTGCATCAGATACCACTGCCTACCCCTCAGCATCCAAGTCCAAGGACCTGAAACAAAAGCTCAGCTGCACATTTTAAAAATAGCTCTCTGTTATCATTTGTATATTCAACTAAAGACCACCAGGTAGAAGAAAATCATTTATGAGCCAGGCATAGTGGTGCACGCCTGTAATCCCAGCACTTGGGAGGCTGAGACAGGAAGATCACTGTGAGTTCAAGACCAGCCTGGCCTACATAGTGAGTCCCAAGTCAGTCTCAACTACATAGTGAGGCCCTGTCTCAAGAAAGAAAGAAAGAAAATCATCTATGAAATAATCCTGCTACAAATACTGTTCTGCTAATGACAGCATGGTAACAAAGTGCAGGTCCTGCTAGTAATAAAGATGTTAAAATAAT